TTACAAGAAACCCTGAAAACTAAAACAATCTTTAAAAAGAAGAATAAAGTTGGAAGATCCATACTTCCTGTCTTCAAAATTTAGTATTAAGCTACAGTAATTATACAAAGCTACAGTAATATAGTACTGGCATAAGAAGAGATATATAGACCAATTAAATAGAATAAAGCACCCAGAAATAAACCCTGACATATGTGATTAATTGATTTTTCACAAGTGTGCCAAGACCTTTCAGTGAGGAATGGACATCTTCAACAAATGGTGCCGGGAAAACTGGATACCCACATGCAAAACAGTGAAGTTGGATCCTTACTTTACACCATATATGAAAATTAACTTTAATGAAAGACCTAAACTTAAATACTAAAACTATGAAACTCTTAGAAGAATATGTAGGGGTTAATTTTGGATTTGACAATGATTTTTTTGAATATGACAGCAAAAGCACAGGCAACAAAAGTAAAAATAAATTTGACTTCATCAAGATTAAAACCTTTTGTGCATCAAAGGATACTATCAAGTAAGTGAAAAACAACCCACAGAACAGTAGAAAATATCTGCAAATCATATGTCTGATAAAGGCATAGGATTCTGTAATAATATCTAAAATATACAGAGAACGTCTGAATCTCAACAACAACAAAAAACAAACCTCCCAATTCAAAAAATGGGCAACAAAGTACTTAAGCAGATATTTCTCCAGGGCAGATGTACAAATTCCTAATAAGCACAGGAAAAGATGCTCAAAATCATTAATCATTAGGAAAACAAAAATCAGAACTAAAATAAGGTATCACCCCACATCTACTAAGATGGCCATACATATATTTTTTACGGAAAATAACAAGCGTGGGAGGATGTGGACAAACTAAAACTCTCTGGCATTGCTGGTTAGAATGTAGAATGGTGCAGCCTCTGTGAGAAACAGTCAGGTGGTTCATCAAAAAGTTAAACATAGAACCTGACCCAACAGTTCCACCCTTACATACACATCCATAAGAACTGAAAGTAGAAACTGGAAAAGATTTTTGTACACCCATGTCCACAGCGGCATTACTCACAATAGCCCGAAGGTAGAAACAACCCGAGTTTCAACCAGATGAATCAATAAACAAACAAACAAAATACACGCACACACAGATGTGTATATACGGTGGGATATTATTCAGTCATAAAAAGGAGTGGTTATGCCATATATGCTATAATATGAATTGAAAATGAAACAGCCAAACACGGAAGGATAAGTGTCATACGATTCCACTTATGTGAAGTGCCTAGAACAGGCAAATTCACAGAGAAAGACAGTGGAATAGAGGTAACTAGGAGTTAGTGGTGGGAAATAGGGAGCATTATTGTTTAATGGCCACAGAGTTTTCTGATGATGATTAAAATTTTGTATATAAATAATGGTCATGGTTTACAAAACATCGTAAATGTATTAATATTGCTGGGCTGTACATTTACAAATGGTTGAATGATAATTATTATAGTATTTATATTTTAACACATTTTTTAAAAAGAAGCATTAGGTATGCTGGTAAGTTGCTTCTGGTTATCAAGCTGAAGGATAGCGTATCTCAGCTGAAGGCTCAGTCTGGGGACCACATTTTTAATGGACAAGGGTGTGGTTTAATGTAGCTAAATTTACTCAGCTTCAGGGTCAGGTTTTATCCCCAAATCTAGTGATTTAGAATTCTGAAAGAACTTCCATACATTCTGCCAAACTTAATCTTTACTCCTACATTGAGCAGTGGACAAAATCAAAGCATATTTTTGCAGATGACAAAAGATGTGAGGTGCAGCAAGGTTAAATATGTTCAAGTAGGAATTAAAACATTTAGCACAGTGTTTGGCACAAAGTATTGGGCAAGCTTTAGCTATTACCATATAACAACTAGAAAGTGCAATACCCCTGGTGTATCAAATGTTCTTCTTTTACAGGCAGTTCAATCTTGATTGATCTATACATTGATGGCTGTGAAAGACGCTCACTTTTAAATTTTCTCAAATATAGGTGCCAAAATATATTTCCCTTACCCTGGATTGCTGCACAGTTCAGTATCGAGATATAAAAGAGCTAAGCAACCAAAAGGCTGTTTATGTTTTGGGTCCTGATGAGTTTCTTTCCATAAAGATGTCTCTAATTATTGAACCATTAAAAAACTTTTGATTAGGGGTTAAAACTCATTAAAGCTATTTCTACAGAGATCCATCGGATAGCCGTTCCCCTAAAACGGCACAGTCCCTGGGGGCAGCACTCCTCCTCGGCAGGCCCGTGAGCCGGGAGAGCTGGCTCTGTGTCCACTGCACACTGGGACCCTGAAACCCTCCGAGCAGTGTCAAAGTGCCTGAAGAGAAATGCCCATAGCCCTAAATAGACTTGTTTAGACGTCCTAATATGGGTCTGGAAACAGTTAACTTTGACCATGAACGTAACCCCAAGGAGGGCCTGGCTTTCTAACAATCAAGACAATCATTCCATCGGCTGGTAGCATAAAGTCTATGGAATTTGTTTTAGCTTATGAGAAGGTAGAAAAGGAAAAAAGAGAGCCATTCAGTTTGTAATTTATAAAGATCAAGGCAGCAGCACTTACTCAGCTTCTTGCTTAAGGAACCAAAATGTAAAGGTATGTGACTATTTCAAGGCTTTTATACATGACAAAGCTATTCTTTCCTAAAAATTTGGTCATTGTCTCAGGTATATTTCAAGTAAAATCATCATAGCTCAGTTGGGAGCAAAAAAAGCTTTTCTAGTCCAAACTCCAGCCAAACAGTATTCTCCCCGCCCCGCCTCCCTGGCCAATTCAAGACAAGACCACCATGTAGACTAAGGCTCCTGAGTATGTAATTTCTCTACCAATAGTGTAAAAACATATAATGTGAATCCTTTTTAAGTATAATTTGTATATGCAATAAAGCCTAGATTAGCCAAACTATTAAAGAATATAGAGTTCTGGTTAATTAAATTTTCTGGCATAAGTTAGGGATCATTAGAAAATATTTTTCTCAACCAGCCTTGCTAGTGATGAAAAATTGTCCTAATGTCTGAATTCACTGTCCTGCCTTAACCAAAGGATTTTAACCAAAATAAATACAATTCTGCTTCCCCAAAACACTACGCTGCACCTCACAATTGCTGTCCCATGGAGGTAATTTACTCCTGCGCAGTGATGTCTCCATCTCTGCAATCTTCTCAGTTACATACCGTAATCTCATCGATGCTGTATGAGAAGGCAGTTTTTCAAAAATGGTCCAGCTTCACTGACTAGATAACAACATTTTTCCCCAAGAAAAATGTCATTATTGTTTTAACAAAGTTAGGTAAGTAACATGTTAACTATGGTGAGGACTATGTCTAACAGTAAATAAGGCCCATCCCTGATTTTGAAGTGTGGAAAATTTTAAATTTAAAACACTGAAATTAAATAGTTTCCACAGACAGTTAATTTAAGAGTTGTAGAGATGACAAGCGCGGATTTGGGATAAACCAATAAATTTAGTTTACATCAACATTCCAAAGGGAGTCAAGACGAAGAAAGAGCCCGAAACACGTAGGGAGATGAGAGAAGGGCTGAACCACTGCACTAGCAGAAACATATTCTGACGAAATAAACTCCCGTCCTTCATACGAATACCAGTTTCATAGGGAATCCGACTTGCTCTAAGAATTCTGCTCTACAAAAATCAATTTTTAGCAGTTTGAATAACACAATTTTCTTTCACTTAGGTGTCCAAAAACCTTTGTTAATACTAGGATTGACTGTGTGTGTGTGTGTGTGTGTGTGTGTGTATTGGAGAAATTTTCACAGTCAGTCCTTAGGTAGCCAGACTCTTAGCATCTCTGTTCTTTGAATCATTTGAGTTTTGACACAGACATCCTACCTTTGGTCACAAGGAAGGGGATTCTCTTCTAAATACGAAAAAGTTATCGATGGCAACAAGCAACTAAAACAGATGTTAAAATTCACCAGGTTTGTTTCTATGCAATTTAGTAAGCTTCCTTATCAAGAATTTAGTAAAGTGATTTATATTTTATTATTGCGTTAAGCCTATTAAAATGCCTTTGTTCACTTTATAAACCCCACACACAAAGAAACTGCTGCACTCAGATTTCTTATACTCAGATTCGGAGGTTAATATATTAAAAAGAACTTGACACAGAAATTATTAGTGAGTAGAACAAGGTCACTACTTCTGAGCTGAGGTCACTTACAAAGAATTCACAAATGAAATTAAGGTTGACTTTTATTTACTTGACTATCTCCTTACATTGGATTCCTTTGGCAACATATCTTTAAACATTTAAAGCCCTGTTTACAAGGAGGTTCTGAAAGAAGCTTCAAACCATTATGTGTCCCTAATTGAATTCCCCAGGAGTCCAGTAAACTCAGAGGAATAAAGAAAAATCATAACATTTGCTAAATCATCTCAAAACATATGTCACTGCAAGGTTATGTGACCTGTTTTTTTGAGGTTGAAAGATGAATGAGAAAATACTACTGAATGCTTCATTATTTAGACTAAAATCAAAAAGAATTTTACCTATTAATAGTAAGCTAATTAAATCAGTCCAGTTTTAACTTTTTTTCCAAGAGAAATCATACAACAAGTAATAACATTTCACACTGTATGTGACCACTCTGTCAGAATATAAAAGCTCTCAGGGGGAGGAAAGCGTCTTTAGCCAAAGACAATTATTCACAGTGAAGGTAAGAGAGAGCTAACAAAAATCTGTAATCCCCAGGGAAAGTAGCCATTTATCTGTGAACTCAAAACAAACTCAAGTGGAAGAGGAGAAAATAAAAGTTTTAGCAACCAATTAGTTTATTAGCATGCCACCTTCCCAATTAACTTTCCAATTCTAATTTTACTTTTAAATAAGCTTTTATGGTCTTTTTATTCATACTTCTTTCATGTGCTCCTGTGTTTGTTTTGACTACTAAGCAAAAACATGTGGATTTTAGCATTTCCAAAAGAATGTTAAACGCCTCTCTACTTACCTGGTTTGTATGTTATTCCAGGGGGGAAGAGGAATCCCTGCTGGGCAGCAGCAGCTGCTGCCAGGGTCCGCTGGTCATGTGGAAAAATTGGGATCATGAGCGGAGGCATATGACCCTGAACCTGCTAAACAGAAGAGAGCCTATGATCAGACAGAGAGCAAATGGATGCCAAGCAGTATTTGTTTTTCACTCCTGGTGGTGGGCCGGTACCCAAACAGCCACCCACTTCTAACCTCATTCCAAACAGCTCCCTGAGAAAATTCAGGCGAAATTCACCGAATCCCTCCTCTAAGATTCCATTAGTACACCAAGAACATAACCTCCTTGTGAATTTGCTTCACCCGCGCTTCCACTAAATTGTAGTACATGGTTTTCTTTTATCTTGAGTTTTTTCTTTTTATTTTCTCTTTTTTTTTTAAAAAAAGAAGAAGTAAGTTGCTTCTTACTCTATACAGTGCTAAAAGATTTTACCCTTTCATTGGCTGTGCACTCCACGCTTTATTTTGAAAATAGTATTTAGTGTCCTTGGTCAGAAAATAATGTCTAATTGTTATGTATTCCCAAAGCTGTGTCTCCCCAGTTTAGGTATCTTATTTCAAAGCCTCACTGCATTATGTTAAACATAGAGCTCTTCAGATTTAAGGCTACTACATCTTGGCTCCCAATTAAACTAATATTCTTTGCCATACACACCTCGATGTAACATATAAATTGCCTGTCTGGCTAAGCAGTTTTACAGCTTTATGCACTACCATGTAGCTCAGTAATTATGGAGTTGTATTCAGAGAGCATTTCATAATAAATCCTACTATATCAAATTTCATTTGACCTCAATAAATGTATCAAAGAGCACAAAAATGCAAACTAGAAAATCTTCACTCTCTATATCAGTATTTGTATTCCATATAAAGAAAATAAGAGCTATGACAGAATCATGCCGGTGGAAATCACATTTTAATTTCCTAGCTCCCTTCCCCGTTCCGCGCGTGCTTCCCTGATTCCAGGAGACAGAGCGTCACAGGAAGGTTTTGTCCTGGCTTTTAGGGCCTGCAGGTCGGACTACAGGGCTTTTGTTATTTAAAGATCAAAACTAGGGTGTATTCACAGAAATGACCTTTTAGTTCAGACTGGGTTTTTGGCCTCTTTACTAGCATAAAAGGGCTACATACATTACATTCTATTTAAGATACAAACCTTTACCAGTAATTCTACCAAGCCCAAACCCTTCCCCCATTTAAATTCCTAAATCGTCTCTTTAGGCAAAATTCCATATACTGGCTGGTGACCCTGTTTAAATAGCACTAACTTGCCTTGTCCTGTCCCTTTTCCCCCCACAGCCAGGGACACAGTGCAAAACGCCTCTGTGTAGGTCTAAGAGGTTTCATTTACCAACAGTTTTTCTCCAGGGAAAGCCCTAAGATGCGGGTTAATAAAGGGCAAGCAAAAAATAAACACTTTACAGTATTTTTCTGAATTCATTTCTCAGGAAAATCAACTTATAATAAAAAGGTCTTTGTGCAATTACTACCTTGCCAGTGGGGCGTGAAAGAAACTAGCTTTGGGCAGCTATTTCTTCCATTTTAGCTGAGGTAAGCCCAAGTTTTGTACTGTAGAGTACAAACTTAGCCTGCTTCAATTGAAGCTGATCCCCTGGTGCCCAGGTCTTGCCTTTAACACTGAACAAAAGGACTAGGCTTGCAGTTCAACCCCAGCTTACTGTGATCTGATGCAAATCTGAGATGTCAAAAATGAGGGCACTGCTCTGTGTCAGAAAATAAAACAGTATTTTTTGTGGGTGACCACTGTTCAGTGCAAAAGTATATCAAAGGAAACCATTTCATTTACTTCTGGAAATATGGTCCTACCACAAACCTAGAACACGGCACAGATGCTTTACACTCTAAAAATGGGGAACAAGAAAGTGAGAAGTCTAGGTATTATATTTATATTATCCTCTCCTTCTTTCATTTAGCAAATGTTTATTAAGTTGCTACAATGCATTATGGATCTTGAGAAGTAGCTGGAAAAAATGGGGGCTATTTAGCATGGGGTAGAAAAGATAGGCTATCCTCAGATATTTAAAGGAAGGGGATACGGGAGATGAACCAGATTAAGTGTGAGTAGTTAAAAAGGGCAGAAGTGGACTCAGAAGAGAGGTGGCGGGGGGAAAAGAGAGTGAGAGAGGAATTTTAGGCAAATTTATTGCAAAGATGAATTCTCTAATAATGATTTATTCAAGATCACTGAATAAAGATGGGGGGTGTACCATTTCCTTAGAGGTGGTCAAGTAAAGGTTGTATATCTATATATTATACATTCTTGAAAAGATAAGCACTAAAACCCTAATTAGATAACAACCTATACAGCTTTTTTCAACTTTATATCTTTATTATTGTTTCAAAGTCAACATTAGGAAAATAATGTGATATAGTCATTCTTTTATTCATTCATCACATAGGTATCCAGAATCTGCTGTGACTACAAAGGTTTTGCTGTCAAACAAGCTGAACTTAAATCTCTACACTGTCATTCTGTTGGCTGTGTGACCTTGAACAGTTACTTGACCTTTCTGAGTCTATTCTGTCACGTGAAAAGCAAAGCTAATAACACTACCTTGCATGGCTATTGTGAGGATTAAACAGACAAGGAGAGGGATGCTTGCGGCGCAGTGACTGGCACGTCACAGGCCCTCAGTACGTGTTAGGTCTTTGCTTCTTTTTTTGTGTAGTCTGAATATTCAGCACTAGAAAATTATCAATTTACTGATGAAAGAAGAAACAGTGGATCTTACCCACAACTCTAATTCAAAAAAGAAAACATGCACCAACTGAATAATTCAGTTTGGCAGGCAGAGGCTTGTCATGTTCTTCTCAGACACCACGCCTCACAGAGCATTATCCCATCCCCTGTATCTAGAAAACTATGAAAAAGGAGAGGTGGGGCAACAGGGATCATTTGAAGATGTAACTTGGGATTTTCAGTGTCATTCATTAAGCAGCATCTTAGAGTGGAAACAATGTTATTTTTTTCAATTTTTAAAATTTTATTTAGTTATTTTTCAAGTACAGTTTTTTTGTCTATTTCTCCCATCCCAGCCTCCCCTACCCTGTGCTCCCCACCTCCCTCCCATTTCCAGCCCCCTTAGTTCTCATCCCTGTGTCCTTCCTATTTGTTCCTCCACATCCCTTTCCCTTTTTCCCCTTAACTTCCCTTCCCTCTCCCCTCTGGTCACTGTCCCCTTGTTCTCTATTTCAGTGTCTTTGTTTTTTTTTCTGCTTGCTTGTTTGTTTTGTTGTTTAGCTTCCTGTTAAAGGTGAGATAATATGGTATTTGTCTTTCAACACCTGGCCTATTTCACTCAGCATAATGCTTTCCAGTTCCATCCATGTTGTTGCAAAGGGTAGTAGCTCCTTCTTTCTCTCTGCTGCATAGAATTCCATTGTGTATATGTACCACAATTTTTTAATCCATTCATTTACTGATGGGCACCTAGGTTGCTTCCAACTCTTGGCTATTGTAAATTGTGCTGCTACGAACATTGTGGTGCATAGGTTCTTTGAAATTGATGTTTTAGGATTCTTGGGATATAATCCTAGCAGTGGAATTGATGGGTCAAAAGGCAGGTCGATTTTTATTTTTCTGAGAAAATTCCATACTGTTTTCCATAATGGTTGTACCAGTCTGTAATCCCACCAACAGTGAACTAAGGACCCCTTTTCCCCACAACCTCTCCAACATTTGTTGTTTGTTGCTTTGTTTATGATAGCCATCCTGACCAATGTAAAGTGATATCTCATTGTGGTTTTAATTTGCATCTCTCTGATGGCTAACGATATTGAGCATCTCTTCATGTGTCTCTGGATCTTCTGTATGTCCTCCTTGGAGAAGTGTCTGTTCAAGTACAATGTTATTTTTATATTGGTGCCCAAGCTCTTCAGATCAGAAAGGGATCGATGGCAATTAGGTGTCAGACCTTAATTCTTGAATCTTGGTGCTGGAAGCTATTTCCTTTGTAATCAGCTATGCACATGAGATAACTAAGTAGACTGACTGTCTAAGGTCAATTTAATGGCAAAAAGCTGTAGGTATTTCATATTAACATAAGTGTAATAATTTAGGGAAGTTCCTTTCTGGTCCCTCACCATCTCTAAGCTAGGATATGTTAGAAATTTTCAGTGCTGTTATCTCAGAGGCAGTTTCAGTAAATTGAGGGTCAAAGTAAGTGAGGAGGGGGATGGAAGGCATAGTGAAGGCAGTAGTAATGATGGAGTCAGAGGTGGAGTGCAGTTTAGAGTTGATCTAACCTACTGCTTCTCCCAGTGTGGTCCCTGACCAGCAGCACCAGCAACACCTGAGAACTTGGACAAAGCTCCACCCCAGACCTGTGGGCTCCACAGGCTCCACCCCAGACCTGTGAAGCAGAAACTCTGGGGTCTGGTCCAACTATCTAAAATTTAGACTAAAATAATCCAAAGCAATGATGTTTAAACTCTAATGTGCATTAGAATCTGGAGCACTAATTAAAACAAAGATTGTCCACCCTACCCTCAGAGTCTCTGAATCTGTAGATTTGAGGGAGAGGCCTGGAAGTGTATTTTTCTAACAAGTGTCCAGGTGAAGCTGGTGTTGGTGATCCAGGGACTACTCTTTGAGAAACACTAACCTAAATCAAACCTCACAAATTACTCATGGAAACAAGTGGCTAGAGAAGGTAAAAGCGTGAGGTCACACTGCCTGTGACAGAGCTGGATCTAAAGTCCCAAACCGCTAATTACCCTGTCCAGGGCTTTGTCCATTATGTTCCATGGACTTCAGTGACAGGGAAAAAAAGAGAGAGAGAGTGAGAGAGAACTTACATGTGCACATGCTTTTGGTAGAGAAAATCTGGAGGACTGCAAGTAAAAATAATTTCACGTTTCAGAGGGGTATTGTTGGAGGCAGCTTGGGAGTATGGCTATTATACTGCTTAGTTTCACTTTCTTTTATCTTCTCTCTCATTTTGTACCCAAAGCAATTTGATCTTAAACCTGTTATTGATTCCAATGATTTATTACAATACATTCATGAGCAATGGTAATTTAGTTCAGAAAGATAAAATTACCCTTAACTTATTTCAAGTAAAAG